GATCCTTGTGGTCAGTTTCCCCTTTCTCCCCCCACCTTCCCCTTCCCCTCCTGGTATGGCCTCTCTCCATATTGCTCCTGAGGGGGTTATCTGTCCTGGACTCCCTGCTTTTTCCAGCTCTTATCGGGTATACAGTTCTTATGGGTGATACCCATTTTTCTTTTTTTAAGTTTTTGTGATTGGGGTTGAAGTTTACAGGGCAAACAGATTTGACATTCAGCAATCCATTCACATTTATTTGTGATATTATTGCAACCCCCACCATGAAGAAGTCACCCCGCATTCTCCCCATGTTTATCGTTTCCCTTTAGCTGCCTTAATATCCCTTCACGCCTTCTCAGCTTTATCCCGGGGCAAATACTGCCCTCTTGATCACATGTGGTTGATTGTTCTAATGAGCGTGTTCTCTCCTGGGCTTAATGCTCACCTGAGAGGCCTGTATTTGGCGGAAAATTAAGCAGTAAGGGTGAGTTAATTGCAGATCTGATGGGTGTATAAGGGTCATAGTTTCAGGGGTTGGTTCCATCATTCTCTCCTTAGACCAGTAAGCCAAGACTTCACTATTTTGAATTTTGTTTCATAATTTTCTCCCACTCTACCCAGGACCTTCCAATGGGATCCTTTTCAGAAGAGGAGCTGAGAACCAACTAACTTGTCTGGTCTCAGGGCCGTGGGTGCTGCTAGTCACACGGTCCATTGAACTTGTTGTGCGCACGCATCTTTGCGTTCCCTCACTCTGCTTTGTCTGGGGAGAGACCAATAGATTTACCTTACATGGCTGCTCACCAGCTTTGGAGACCCCAGTTGCTTCCCCCCACCCCCAAAGCAGGGTGTAGAACATTTTCTTTGTAGACTATGTAATGCAAATTGACCATGATGACCCCACGTTATGGTCCTGTGCCCCAATGCTCACTGAGCCATTCACATAAGCTGTTTGGTTATGGCTAAGAAGGTGTCCTATCTTTGCCCACTGTATCCTCTACTATATTCGTGGATATATAGGTGGTGGTGGTGGTATTGCGTCAGTTCCAACTCATGGCAATCCTATCTACAATAAAGTGAAGCCCAGCACGGTCCTGTGCCAGCTTCACAATTGTTATGTTGGGACCTGTTGTTGCAGCCACTGTGCCAATCTAGCTCCCGGGGGTCTTCCTCTCTTCCACTGACCCTCCACTTTGCCGAGCATGATGTCCCTTTCTAGGATAACATGTCCAAAGTACATGAGACAGAGTCTTTCCAGCTTCACTTCGAAGGAGCATTAAGGCTGTACTTCGTGTAAGACAGATCTGTTTCTTCGGGAAGCCATGGTGCTTTCATTCGTCTCCTCCAGCACCCCAGTTCAAATGCATCCATTCTTCCTTAGTCTTCCTTATTCAGTGTCGAACTTTCACATGCACAGGAGGTGAGTGAAGATGCCATGGCTTGGGTTAGGCTCACCCTGGTCCTCAAAGTGACATGCCTGTTCTTCAACACTTCAAAGAGAGTTTGTGCAGCAGATTCGCCCAATGCAAGACGTTGTTCGATTTCTTAACTGCTGCTTCCATGAGCCCTGGCTGTGCCTCCAAGCAAAATGAGATCCTTGCAAATATTTGCAAATGTTTCCTTCATTTATTGTGATACTGCCTTCTAGTCCCATGGTGAGGCTTTGGGCTTTCTTTACATTGAGCTGCAATCCACACTGAAGGCGTCAGTTCTTGATCTTCAGCAGCAAGTGCTTCTAGTCCCCCAGCTTTCAGCAAGCAAGGCTATGTCATCTGCATATTACAAGTCATTAACAAACTTTCCTCCAATCCTGATGCTGTGTTCTTCAGATAGTCCCGTTTCTCGGATTATCTGCAGAGCGTACATATTGAATAAATATGGTGAAAGGATACAACTTTGACACACACACCCTTCCTGATTTTGTTGATTTTAATTTGAATAAATCATTTTTATTGGGAGCTCTTACAGCTCTTATCACAATCCATACATCAGTTGTTTCGAGCACATTTGTACATAGGTTGCCATCATCGTTTCCAAAACATTTTCTTTTGACTTCAGCCCTTGCTATCAGCTCCTCTTTTTCCCCCTCCCTTCCCCACCCTCCCACTCTCGTGACCCCTTGATAATTTATAAATTATTCCTCTTTTCCTATTTTACACCTCTCTCTCCCTTCACCCACGTTTCTGTATCCCTTAGTTCTGTTTGAATGACCGTCTCTCAGTCCAAGTACAGGATCTGCATGAGCACAATGAAGTTTTCTGAAATTCCAAGTCTTCCCAATGCTATCCATAATTTGTTATGATCCACACAGTGAAATGCCTTTGCATAATCAATAAAATATAAACAAACATTTTTTTCTGGTATTCCCTCCTTTCAGATAGGATTTACCTGACATTAGCCCCTCATTCCAGGCCCTCCTCTGAATCTGGCTTGAATTTTTGGCAGCTCCCTATTGATGTACTGCTACTACCATTGTTGAATTCTCTTCCATAAAAATTTAGTTGCATGATATCCATGATCTTGTCCTGTAAATTTCACACTCTTTGGAATGGGTACACATATGGATCACTTCCAGTTGGCCACTCAGCTAATCTCTTGGCCTAGCGAGGCATGTGAGTGCTTCAAGTACTTCCTCAGTTTGATGAAACATTGCTTCTGGAAGTCTGTCAAACCCTAGGACTTTGTTTTTGCTAATGTCTTCCGCGCGGCTTGTACTTCTTCCTTCAAGGACCGTAGGTGATTCTTCTTCATATTCCTGGAATGGTTGCATGATGACCAGTCCTTTTTGCTCAGTGACTGTGTATTCCTTCCGTCTTCTTTTGATCTTCCAGCGTCATTCAGTATGCTACCCATCGAATCTTCCAATATTGCAACTGGAAGCTTGAAGTTTTCCTTCGGTAAGTTCAGCTTGAGCTATATGAGGGTGTTTTCCTTTTGGGCTCTCTAACTCCAGGTCTTTACACATTTCATTATAATCCGTTGTCTTTTCAAGCTGCCCTTTGGAATTTTCTGTTCAGCTCTTTCATTTCATCGTTTCTTCCATTCGCTTGAATGATTCTACAACCAAGGGAAAGTTTCAGATTCATGTAGGTATGTAGAAGTAGATATGTAGACATTTCCTTTTTTCTCGTTGCTGTGCATACTACTGTGTTGAACATATCTACTTGTGTCGTAGCGCTTCTTTCTCTGTGATATACAGTGATACCTCGGTGGTCAAATGGCTCCAACCTTGAACTTTCCACTATTCAAACAGCAAAGTTAAGGGGGAATATATGCTCAGTGTGCTTACCTTTGCTCAGTAGCTGAAAAGCCAACTTGGAAAACCTGTACGGGCCGAGAGTAGGTCACGTCTCACTGTGGAGAGACACAAAGGGGTGACGCTTCAGTGTAAGGCAGTGGTTCTCAACCTTCCTAATGCCGTGACCCTTTCATAGAGTTCCACATGTTGTGGTGACCCCCAACCATAAAACTAAGTTCATTGCTACTTCATCACTGTCATTTTGCTACTGTTAAGAATCGGGTGGCCCCTGTGAAAGGGTCGTTCAACCCCCAAAGGGGTTGCGACCCACAGGTTGAGAACCGCTGGTCTAAGCACAGCTCTCGCTCGGACAACATACAGTGCTAGTAGGGCAATGAATGTACAAATGTACTTTACACAATTGATGTATGTATGGATTGTGATAAGAGTTGTATGAGCCCCTAATAAAACGATTTAAAAAAATAAAATAAAATCAAGACCATTAAATAAAAAGGGAAAAAAAGAAAGCCAATGACAAAAAAGGCAAAGCCTTAAAAAAAAAGAGTTGTACAAGCCCCCAATAAAATGATTTAAATATGATAAAAATAAAAATAACATATAGTGCTGGTGTCAGCGCATTAAAACATTCATCGTTGTGCTTTTTTTCCCCTTGCACTTCATTTGTGTAAAATGTGTAACCATGGCTCCAGAGAAAGTGAGTGTTACCAGCACTAAAGCTGAGAGGGAAAGTGTGAGAACTACAATAGAGCTAAAGAAAGAAACCGTTGCAAAATTTCAATCAGGTCGCCACTAGTCTGATTTGGTGGTTGAGTACATGACTAAGTTGACATCATCAACATTTTTTGGGTATGTGTGTGTGTGTGTGTGTGTGTGTGTGTGTGATTAAAGCACGTAGCCTAGCAAAAGATGTGAAATATCTAACCACAAAACTGAGAGCCCAGACTACGGAAGAGGGTGAAGTTACCGTGGATTTGGATAAATCAGGAACAACTCGATGGTGAGAGTGTCTGTAAGACAGGGTTATGGGAGAAGACTAAGCCTCCGGAAAGGTTGGGAATCCTGGGAAAATGAACTTGTGAGTGTCATTTCGGGGCCTCAGAACCAAGTATTTGGTTTCCCATGATTTCTTACGGGAAAAATATGTTCCGTTCTCAAACTTTCAGCGTTTGAACACAAAAATGGAATGATTTGAGTTTAGTAACTAAGTATCACTGTATGCCTAGTAGTAAGATTGCTAGATCATATGGCATTCTATTTCCAACTTTTTAAGGAAGGACCCTATTGCTTCCCATAGCATTTGCACCATTTTACAATCTCACCAGCAGTGTGTGAGATTCCGGTCTCTCCACAGCCTTGTCAGCCTGTATTGTTTTCTTTTCCAACTTTGCTACTAATGCTGGGGTGAGAGTATAGCCCCCCCCCTTTTTTTGCCGGAATTGCATCTCTTTAAGGCTAATGGTTGAAAACATTTCTTCAGGTGTTTGTTGGCTACCTGGATGTCTTCCTTGGTAAAGTGTCTATCATATTCTCTGCCACCTCCCAACCCCCATTTTATTGAACGATAACCCGCATATCATATAATTTAGCAGTTCAGTCACATCGACAAGAGTTGTACAATGACCACCACAATCAGTTTTAGAACATTTTCTTCTTTTTTTTTTGTTTTTTAACCATTCAACAATGTCTTTTATTACATATGGGTCCCCCCCAATTATTTCCTTAATCTCTCCATACACAGGCAAATGTAAGGGTACCGTTTAATACATTTGCACTTGCTGACCTGATCATTGCCTAGAGGAGGGATATGTATCCCTGAACGCATGCTTAACCAGGAGGCCAATTCATCTGCCGACCACCGAGAACGTGAAATGAACGTGATAGGCAGACTGTCCCCCATCCGAACCTTCATTCCCCACCATGCGATAAGCCCGGTTCAGGCCCAGGTCAGCTGCACATTTCTTGCCAACAGTCATTAAATGTCCACGGAGACTTTTAGTATCATCTTCTGCAACAGAAAGCTGGGAAAGGTGCTTCTTAGGTATCACCAAAAAATGTGTTGGTGCTTGCGGGGAAACGTCATGAAAAGCAAGGCACCGGGCATCCTCAAAATGATTTTGGTCTTTGCGGATGATCTTCCCGGAGATGGTGTCGCCGCCAGGTCGGGCCACCTGAGCCTTGGCAATCTCATCTGCCATTTCCCATTGTCTTCATTCTTGTGCTCATCGTGAGTAGCTCCCCATTTCCCTCCAACCTCCCCTGCCAGACCCCCAAGGAACCATTAATCTGGTTACCGTCTGTCTAGCTTCATCTATCGGCCTCAGGAGCAAAACTGGGCTTTCTACTCTTTTTTTTTTTTTTAACATTTTATTAGGGGCTCATACGACTGTTATCACAATCCATACACACATCAATTGTGTAAAGCACATTTGTACATCATTCTCAAAACATTTTCTCAAAACATTTGCCTCTACTTAAGCCCTTGGCATCAGCTCCTCATTTTCTCCCCTCCCTCATGAGCCCTTGATAGTTTATAAATTGGTATTTTGTCATATCTTGCCCTGTCCGACGTCTCCCTACACCCACTTTTCGGTTGTCTGTCCCCCAGGGAGGAGGTCACACACAGTTCCTTGTAATCATTTCCCTCTTTCCTACCCATTCTCCCTTTACCCTCCCTGTTTCACCACTCACACCACTGGTCCTTAGGGCTCATCCACCCTGGATTCCCTGTATTTTCAGTTCCTATCTGTACCAGTGTCCATCCTCTGGTCTAGCCAGACTTGCAAGGTCGAATTCGAGTCATGGTAGTGGGAGCGGGGAGTAAACATTTAGGAACTAGAGGAAAGTTGTATTTCTCATCGTTGTTACATTGCACCCTGACTGGCTCGTCTCTTCCCTGAGGGCTTTCTACTCTTATAAACAGTTACGGTCTCAGAAACCCACAGGGGTGTTGCAGCAGGTCAACATTGGCTCCCTGGCAGGGAGAGGCTGTCAAAGCCTTTTAAAACAAATAACTAACAAGAATAACACAGTAAAACAGATAAAAACTTCCATCATAAAGAAAGGGAGTATTAGAAACTAGAAAGATTTTAATGGGTCATAAGGGAGATCAAATGATAGGGTGCTAAAATTTAACCTAACTGCATCTGCAACAATCCACTTTCCATCATGATGGCAAAGCTAGCCACATCCACGTCCAATCAGCAAAGACGTAATCAGCATACGTCTCTTTCTCCTTTTCTTTTTTAACTGAAATAGCTTTAAAATGGGTCATAAGGGGGATCAAATTAGAAGGTATTACATTCTGACTTACCTGTATCTACCATAATCGAGTTTACATTGCTCTCTGTCTGATAGCAGGGGTACTCACACCCCTCCATTATGATTGGAGGGGATTCACTGAAGGCTTAATCCTTGTGTGGACTCTGTCGATGGATTCTGGGCTTCCACTGCCATCCATGACCTTCTGCAAATCAGATGTTCGCAGTTTAAGCTCTGATGCCATTCCCTCCTTTAGATTTGGATATTATTATTTACAATCCTTGGATCACACAGGCTGAAGTGCTTCTTCCATGTGGACTTAGTGGATGCCTCATTTTGATGGTTGCTTGTTTGAAAACAAGCCTCTAAGACCTTAGATTAGTGACTCTCAACCTTCCTAATGCTGTGACCCTTTCATACAGTTCCTCATGTTGTGGTGATCCCCGAACCGTAAAATTTTTTTCGTTGCTACTTCATCACTGTAATTTTGCTACGGTTATGAATCTGGTGACTCCTGTGGAAGGGGCGTTCAACCCCCAAGGGGGTCGCGGCCCACAGGTTGAGAACCACTGCCCTAGATGCTATTCTTTCTGATGGCTGGGCACCATCTTGTTTCTTCACCACACTTTGTTATAGCACCCAAGTCTTCAGGGATCCCTTCATGAGGGTGAGCATCATGCTCTCTGCCCATTTTGAAGCGGACATTTAACTTTTTGTTGTTGACATATTGAAGTTTTCTATAAGTATTAGGAATCAGTCCCTTGTCTGATACATCATTACTAAAAAATCCCCTCCCTCTCCCACCTCTGTCCCCCAGCCTGTAGATTCTCTTTTGACACTTTTGGTGAAATTATTTGATGTACATAAGCATTTAAATTTTAGGAAGTCCCAGCCATTAAGTTTGTCTTCTGCTGTTTGTGTGTTTTTAATTAAATTTTGATAGAATACTTGTACCTTGTATTAGTTACCCTTAGTTTTCCTTAATTTTTTTTCTTTTGGCGATCTTTGTACTTTTCGGTTTTACATTTGGGTCTTTGATGCATCTTAAGTTAATTTTCGTATATAGTGTGAAGTATGGGTCCTGATTCATTTTCCTGCAAATGGATATCCAACTTTGCTAACACCATTTGTTAATGAGTTTTTCTTTCCTCGCTGAATCAGTGAGGTCAAAGATCTTGGTCGAAGATCAGCTGTCCATAGGTGGATGCATTTACTTCTGGGCTTTCAATTGTGTTCCCTTGGTCGGCGTGTCCATGATTGTACCAGCACAAGGCTGGTTTGACCGCCATGGCTGTTGAGTGCGCTTTGGGAAGTATAAAGTTCTACTCTATTCTTCCTTAGAACTGTTTTGCTGATCCGGGGTCATTTTCCTTTCCATATAAAGTTACTGATGAGTCTTTCTTTTTATAGAATGATGCTAGAACCTCGCTCGAGATTACATTGTATCCTTCGATTGTTTGAGATAGGACTAATATTTTCACAATGTTAAGTCTCCCTATCTATGAGATCAGTATATTCATTCATTTATATGGGTCTTTTTTGGCTTCTTGTAGTAGTGTTGCATAGTTTTCTTTTTATAGGTCTTTAATTTCTCTCATGATATCTTTCTTAAGTATTTTATCTTTTGGCTGACTGTTGTAAATGGTATTGCTTTCCATATTTCCTTTATAGACTTCTCTTTGTTAGTGGAGCCAAGGCATATTGATCTTGCCAACTTACTGAATCTTTAATTAGTACTGATGATTTTCTTTTGAGTCTTTGCAATTTTCTATGCATAGGATCATATAACCTGGGAAAAAGGGTTTTACTTCGTTGCCAATGTAGATGCCTTTTATCCCCCACCCCTTTTATTCTCCCTTATTGCTCTGGCTAAGATTGCCTGTATAATATTGGGCAGGAATGATGCTAGGGCATCCTTTTCTGGTTCCTCTTCACATGGGGCATATTTTTCACTTGCTTTTCATTGAGAATAAAGTTGGCTGCTGGTGTGCATACAGATCCTTAATATATTGGGGAACTTTCCTTCGAATCCTATTTTGTTGCACATTCTAATCGCAATACGTTTTCGATTTTGTCAGATACCTTTTCTGCCCTTTGTTCAGTTTTGATTAGGTTATTTGTCTTTTTGTTAAATTGTAGGCGCTCTCGCTATATTTTGGATATTAGATATTAAACCATTACAAATTATATTTCTCTCAGAGATTTTTTGCCCAGTCTCTAGGTTGTCTCTTTATTCTTCTGTTAAAGTCTTTTGATATGTATACATATTTAACTTAGATAAGCTATCGGTTTTGTTTTCTGTTGCTAATGCATTTGTTGCTGTGTTTGATAAAACATCATTGAAAAAATTTAGGTCCTAAAATTTTCTTGTATACATTTTCCTAAAGTTTTAGGGTTCTAGATTTAACGTGTCAATTTTGCATTCATAAAATTGAAGATTAGTCTTTCTGTTTATGTAAACAATATCATTGGCATTTTTGTCAGGATTGCTTTGCGTCTGTAGATTGCTTTGGGAGCTATTGATATCTTGGCCCTATTAGGTCTTTCAGTCGATGAGCAAGCCTAGGGCTTCTTAAGCCACTTTCGGGAGCCCTGGTGGTGTTGTGGTTACTTGGGCTGTGATCTGCATGATCTGCAGTTCAAAGCCACCAGCAGCTCCTTAGGAGAAAGATTGGGCTTTCTACTCCTGTACACAGTTACAGCCTCGCCAGCATGGGCTCGATGGCAGTGAGTTCGGTTGGGGGAGAGTCCCTTTTGGGAGCTCTGGTGGTGTATTGGTTACTCCCTGGGCTGCCATCTGCATGGTTGGCCTTCAAAACTATCAGCAGCTACAGGGAGAAAGGCTGGGCTTTCTACTCTCATGAACAGTTAAAGTCTCAGAAACCATTGGGGAGGGGCGGGGTCGCTATGATTCAATGGCAGTGAGTTTGTTTTTTGGTTAAATCCCTTTGAACAGTGTTTTGTAGTTTTCATTGTGTAAGCTTTTTCCATCCCTGGGTAAATACATTCTTTGATCTCATTAGACATATTTAACATTGTTGACTGGCTATTTTCTGCTTTTCCCAGTAACCATGTCTTCATCAGAGAAATTTCTGTTTCTTCATGATTTTCTTTTGGTTGGGCTATCTCTGTGTGTATGTGTGTGTGAATGGTTTTTATTAAAGTAATCAGAGTCTTATAAGTTATCAAGGGTTCATGAGGGAGTGGGGAGCGGGGAGGGAGGAGGCAAAATGAGGAGCTGATATTAAGGGCTCAAGTAGAAAACAAATGTTTTGAGAATGATGATGGCAACAAATGTACAAATGTGCTTGACGCAATGGATGGATGTATGGATTGTGATGAGCGTTGTACGAGCCCCCAATAAAATGATTAAGAAGAAAAAAAATAAAGTAATCAAAATCAGATATTTCATTTCCACTAAACAGCAAATACAATGAAAAATTACAAGTTGTCCAGTGGCATGTGCATTTTCTATTGGCAATATTTTCCAAGTCCAGCATGTTGTGAAGCTGTAACATTTATAAACATAATCTATGACCAAACCATCCAAAAATATGGGCTATCTCATCCTATGATCTTGTATATTTTACAATTTTTTGAATGTGGGGTATGCTAATCTCTTACTATAGGATAATTTTGAACTCAGAATGTTCTGCATTTCCAGGAATTACAAATTTTTCAAATGCTTTAATTCCATTTTCTTCCTCAAAGTTCCACTAGGGTGCACTCTGGCCCTTTGGTTACTCCCGCATGGCTTCAATCTGAGCCATTGTTTCCTTATTGTTCTTTATTTTTCTTTAAATTGGGCTTGTTGTTGTTGTTGTTGTTCAAAAGAAACACTATAAAACATGCATCGATTCCAAAGTTTCTGCCAGTGCCATCTGGTGGCATGGATTGTATTATATTCTGGAAGTTGTGCCACCATTCTCACCCTCCT